ATGAAGAAGAGACGTGAAGCAACAGAAATATGGTTCTACAGAAGGATACTGAGGATACCATGAATCGAACATGTGAGCAACGATGAGGTTTTAGAGAAAAGAGAAATGAAAAGGAAACTTATACTTAACATCAGAAAGAGACCATTGAAATTTATAAATATGAAAAATAAAATCTTTGCTAGCTTAGTTATTGAATCCTTATCCACTAATATGTGACACTGAGATACAAAGACTCATTGAGATAGTCAAAGATGTATTCAAAAAGCTAAGCAGACTATTAAGAGATAGGAAAACTTTGTTAAGAACAAAGGAAAGAATACTGAACCTTTACATATGTCCTTCTATATGTCAGTGAATATGGGTCAATTTCACCTAAGATGAATACACTTTCTGTGGCAGAAATGTGGTTCTACAGAAAGATGATGAGGATACCATAAACTGAACATGTGAACCACAACAATAAGGTTTTAGAAAAAATAGAAACAAAAAGGAAGCTTATACTTAATATCAGGAAGAGGTAGTTGAATTTTCTTGGTTTACGTAATAAGGAAGGTAGGCTTGGAAAATCTGATGCTCACAGGACAGATTAAGTGCAGGAGGGACAAAGGAAAACATTGCATATCATGCTTAATGAACATGAGTAAATGGATGGCCGAACAGGGTTTAGGGGAAATAATGAAAAGACAACACTTATTAAGAGCTACAAAGAACAGGAAATTGTGGAGAGCCATAATTTCCTACAGCACATAAAGAAGAACTGACCTTTGGGGGTTAAATTTGTTTGTGGAGGTGGAGTGAAAAGTAGAGCATCTTTTTGTTAGTGAGTGTGTGTCTTAAATGATTTATTTTTCTCTCTTATTGAAGTGGTCGTTAGTTTTTGCTGTTGATTTATTATTGAACTTGCAGTATAAGCACCAAAATCCCATGGTAATGAAAATATTCCATTCTGGTGTGAAATTGCCTGATTATTCTAAAAATGATATTTAAACATTGCACTTGATTACCGTTAAGTTATGGACAATATAAATTCGACTTCTTTCTCCTCGCGTACACAAAACATCCGCATTTACTGGCATTGTTTACAAACGTTTGCCTTGAGTAGTCATGCAGCATGGAAGGTTCACTTGTCTTGATTACTGCACAATGTGTGAAGTTTGAAATGAATGCACAAAATAAGGTGTGAAAAATGCAAAATCCGACAATTAAAATAAAAGATTACATACCTGAAAAGTAAAAAAAGGATTTTTTTTTTTTTTTTTTCAACGTGATTTTTTAATGTGTCATGAAAGTGTTTTTTTTTTTTTTAAAAATGTGTCATGAAAGTGTTTTTTTTTTTTAAAAAATGTGTCATGAAAGTGTTTTTTTTTTTTTAAAAATGTGTCATGAAAGTGTTTTTTTTTTTTTAAAAAATGTGTCATGAAAGTGTTTTTTTTTTTTTAAAAAATGTGTCATGAAAGTGTTTTTTTTTTTTTAAAAATGTGTCATGAAAGTTTTTTTTTTTTAAAAATTTGTCATGAAAGTTTTTTTTTTTAAAAAATGTCATGAAAGTGTTTTTTTTTTTTTTTAAAAATGTGTCATGAAAGTGTTTTTTTTTTAAAAAATGTGTCATGAAAGTGTTTTTTTTTTAAAAATGTGTCATGAAAGTGTTTTTTTTTTTAAAAATGTGTCATGAAAGTGTTTTTTTTTTTAAAAAATGTGTCATGAAAGTGTTTTTTTTTTTAAAAAATGTGTCATGAAAGTTTTTTTTTTTAAAAAAATGTGTCATGAAAGTGTTTTTTTTTTTTTTAAAAATGTGTCATGAAAGTTTCTTTTTAAAAAATGTGTCATGAAAGTTTTTTTTTTTTTTAATGTGTCATGAAAGTTTTTTTTTTTTTTTTTAATGTGTCATGAAAGTTTTTTAATTTTTGCAAGAATTTCCAAAATAATGTGTTTTTCAGGTTGAGATTCTATTTCATTAGCTATAAGCAGATTTTATTAAGGACAATATTGTCTTATGAATATTTTTGGAAAAGGTGTTCAATCATGATATTATATTTATTTAGAAAAGCTCTCAATTGTTTCTATAACAAATTTAAACCAATTTAATAAAAAAGAAAAAAATATTCATTTAAAGAAAAACTTTTAAATTAAAAGACACATTTTAAAATAACATCCGTGAAAATTGCGCAGTAATCATGATAAGTAAGATACAAAGAGCTGTAAAAAGGTTGTTAACTAAGCTTCCATGCATTATAACTCAAGGCAAACATATGTAAACAATGCCAGTAATGGTGGCTGGACAATGTGAAAGAGATGGAACTTACATTGACGATAAACGCTAATCGAGCACAATGTTTTAATGTTATTTTCGAAATGATCAGGCGATTTCATACCAGAATGGTACATTGTCACTACCAGGGGGCTTTTGGTGCTTATGCTGCAAATTAACTGATTTATTTATTTTGTGCTGACAAAATTGGAATGCCGATGTCTTTGGCTTTCCGAAAGTAAAGCATTACTTTGTAACATAGACTGAAATGGCACGGATTAATGACTTAATTATTATTAACTAGCTTAAAAGCTGCCCGATATTTTTTATTTCATCAGTGATTTTTCGCTGGATTTCACAATTAATTTTGATTATGCCCAAATTTATTTATAAGTTATGAAAATTATCATACAAAAGAATTTGACACAAAAATTTGCATAAAAAAAAGAAATCAGCAAAAACAATCGCAGCAGTGAAAACTTGAGAATCTAAAATTTTAAGATAGCATGTTCAGATGCAGCCCAGAATGTTTTTAACTTGCTCATGGGGTTGGCCTGATTCCAAAATGGTATAATATGTCAGGCTATGGCCTCTATGAATAAAGTTGAAAACCCGGACAATTTTATTTTGAAACACTGTAATTTGAGGACAGTAATTTTTTCATTTAAAATGAGCTACTGAAAGTTAGAGAGTTTTGTCCCTTTAAGTTGAAAAAGTGAGACACACTGACGTTTGCATTTATTATACAGACTAGCTTAAAACAGTTGTGTCCCTTTAATTGTTTTTATCAGTAAAAGTGAAGGTGGCGAAATCTGAAAACAATCACAGTAATGAAAACTTGGGAATCCATATTTCAGGATTGCAGGTTTGAATCCAGCCCAGAATGTTTTTAATTTGGTCATGGAGTTGGCCTGATTCCAAAATGGTATGATATCTTGGGCTATGGCCTCTAGGAGTGAAGTGGAAAAAGTGTGACACACTGACATTCGCATTTATTATGTAGATTTATATATGGGAATTATTCCAGAGCATTCCTACATTTTTATACACATTTAGCACTGGTGTAAATTTTCTTCAGTATTCTCTGTGTTTTTGTGTGTGTGCTTGTCTGCACGTTACCATTTTCATCTTTTCTGTTTGTAGCAATGTTAGTCTGGTTCTGTTTTTGCTCCAGACATATGTCCTATTTTTTATTTATGTATTTTATTCATGGGCATTTTAGTTTTTTGCCAGGGAAGTTGTATTTCATTTATTTACATTATTATAGAAATAATAGATATTATTGTTTAGGCAATAAATATTTTTTATCTGTATATCTTAGTGAGGATATAAACCAAATAATTAGATATTAGTAGCTGTATATGTGTACATACACAGATGAGTAAATAAATATTTACTTAATTTAAGGTGTAATCAAAACAGTGTTCAATGTGATTAGACAGAGCTAAGAATTATATATTAATAGATATACATATACCTACGTTTGAAGTGCAACTTAAAGTTTCATGTTTTTCCCAAGTTGTCGGTTCATGCCTGTATATATATATATATATATATATATATATATATACACACACACATGCATACACACGCACACACGCACACATTGTGTGTATTTTAGTTTGTCGTTGCTTGGAAATCTTCCATGTAAACAGAAACAGACTATCATCACTGTCTTGTCCGTGTATTGCTTAATATATTGTAATGTAATTGTCATCTTTGATAATGGCTTATGTAAGCCGAAAGCTTAGATAGGATTAAAAAATATGTATCAATATTGTGGTTTTCTTTCTTCGTTTAATGATTATGTTATTAAGCTTATCAGACGATATGCAAAGAATTTATATAAAATAAATAGACAACACTTGTCTATATTATTTAATGAAACATATATATATGTGTGTGTGTGTGTGTGTGTGTGTGTGTGTAGGAATGGATAGGGAAAAATATACATACACGCACAAATACTTGCTCATATGTAAACATATTTATTTCTAAGGTGTTATAAATACAGTGTTTAATGCTATAAAATAATGCTATAAGTACACAAATATAAGTATAAAATAATGCTATAAGTACAATAGCTGGAGATTATACCTGTTTCCTTGTGAGCTATAATCTCCAGCTATTCAAGTGTAATGTCAATCGACATCTCCAGTTGCCTTGATCTATCCACTACCCTCATCCTTTCTTCTATCACTCCTATCTGATCTTGTTTTAAATTTTCTGTAATCCCCTTGCGTCCAAGTGGCTTCCCGCCTTGCTTGGGGTGAAATGCTTAAAAAAACAAAAAAAACATTAGTGAATATACATCCAATGTCAATAACCCTACTTGGAGTTTCATGCAATTAATGCAATCTTCAGGTGAAAATTATGACCATTGTGATCATGTGACTGAGATAGATAACAATCTGAATTCACACCTGAAGAATGCATTAACTGCATGAAACTCCAGGTAGTGTTATTGACATTGGAGATATATAAGTGGACATTGAAGTCAACACCAAGCAGTGACAGTCTGACGATGGTGTATAAGAATGAAACATACTGTCACCACTGGGTTTTGACATCAATGTCCATTTATATATGTCAATGCTTGATGTTGATTCTATGAAAAAGTAGCATTGTTGTCCTGGTAACACATGCACAATGTTGGATTAGTCAATGTTTATACCTTACTTTTTGAACATCTTATAGAATTTATTCTTAAAAGGTAAATTTAAAAAAAAAAAAATTTTTTTTCTTTCTTCAGGTCTCTTGTTATTATCCATGTGGAAGATATTGATGAATTTGCTCCCAAGTTCAGCCAGGATACCTATGAAGTGGAAGTAGAAGAGGGCCATCTTTTTGATGCCATTATCCAGTTAACAGCTACTGACAAGGACAGGTCAGCCAAGTACAAAGATATAAGTGGCTACTTTATTCTGGACAATGATGTTCCGTTTGAAATTAATAAACATGGTAAGATTGTTTTTCTTATTGCTTTACATCTTTAGTATTTTTCTTTTTCCTCAGCAAACAAAATAATTGATACATTTTATTATTATTATTTCTGTTATTTAATCTTAACACTCTGCATTTTTAATATTACTTCCCTTTCCACTGCATTCTTTTTCAAGGCCTCTCAATTGCAATAACCCATCCTGGGTATGATGATAAACTACATCCGACAGCAAGGCCTTTGATCAGGAGTTGTTAAGGAGCATGGACCCACCTCTTAATTGCTGGTGTTCCCAGGTCCACCCTGACTTGGGGTGGTAGCACCTGTTAGGGTCCCTGCTATGGGCTAATATTTAACCCCCAAACTGGGATCAAAACATGTTAAAATATGTTTTAATATCAGCAATATATTTTTCTAAAAAAATTATTACCAGCAATGCTTTATTGGAAAAAGTAATGCCAGCAATACATTTTTGGTAAAAATATTACTAGAAATACTTTTTGAAAAAAATATTACCAGCAATAAAAATCTTGTTAGCATTAAATAACCCATTAAGGTTGATATGCCGCAAAACAAACCAATTGCTTTAACCTTATTGTTAATTTTGGTCAACGTTGCTGTTGTCATAGCAGGATATGAGAACACGAGTATTTATTATTCAGGGGTCAGTCACCTTTAGTGGCAGGATAAACACATACAGAATGATAAAGGTTAAAATTTATTCTAAATCTTATTTTGCTTAAATTTGAATATTTAAAACATTGAAAGGAGATTTTCACACTGAATTATATTTTAATTTAACTCTATTTTTTTCTTAACACCTATATACAGGTTGCGAAATAAATAATGTTACAAAAGAAAAAACTCAAAACTCCGGAAAAATTTATATTAGCATCCAATTTTAAGTAAATATTAGCCTGCTAAATAATACCTGAAAATCTCATTAAATGTCATTAGCCTTCACCACATGTCAGGTTTTCAGGAAAGTAATTGATGGAGACATGCACAGTTTCCATGGCTATTTTATCCAATACTCTCTCCAATTTTCTCTTCAGAGCTTCAATATTGGGAACAGTAGAGTAGAACAGGCCTCACTTTCATGAACTGCCCACAAACAATAGTCAAGAGTGTTGATATCTAGTGAATGAGGGAGGCCATTCATATTTGGTGATGAAGCCAGGACAATTGTCTCTACACTATTGCTGTGTTACATGAGCAATATGTCTCATTGTTCCGTCTTGTGGATTTGTCCAATTTTCATCATCATAAGTGACATTGCACCATGGCTTGAGTACACCTACCAAGATATCCTCTATGTACATTTCCTTGTTGATTTTTACTCCTTGAGACACTGATTTTTACTCCTTGAGACTTTCCTCTTTCTAAAATGGCTGCCTAAACCATAACTGATGCTGTTTTCTGGGTTCTGAGGCATTTTCCTGAAGTGGCAGGAACTGACTGATGACTTGTTGAAAGAACACGATCATTTTGACGATTAAAAGTCTGTTCAACAGTGAACAGTTTCTCATCAGTGAGGATGATGTTTTGCAGCCTGCCATCTCAAATCCGTATCTTCAACTGTTTACTTTTTTGAAGCGTCATTTTCGTCATGGCTGCTGAAAGAAGCTGTCTTGCAGGGTGACATTTCGAGATCATCACAACATAACCTTTGCTTAGTTTTCTCTGATGTTTGGAATTTATGAGAAACCTGACTCTAAATAGGAAATAAAGGAATAACCCTCTACTCCTGTTCAAAAGATTGGGGAGGAGTGTGAACTGGAGGATAGGCAAATCTATCTACTCCTATTGAGGAAAAAATAAATGTAAATAAATAGGAAATAAAAGTTCAAAGTTTGAGGTGGAGACGTTAGACCAGTGATTCTCAACATGAGTGTACCACATGATTCTCTTACGAGTGCCATGAAATGTTGTCAAAGGTGTGTATATATATATATATATATATATATATATATATATATATATATATATATATATATATATATAGTGTGTGTGGAAGTAGTAATGGTACATCATTACTATTTGCATAAATGAATATGTATGAATGTTTTTCAAACAATTCTTTTCATTATTCTTCGATAATGTTGTTTTAAATACTTTGTTTTAATATTAATTTTTTTAAAAAGTATCTTTATATTTTTAATATAACTTTTAAAAATTTTCCTTTTATTTGGATAAATGAATATTAACCTTCAGAGTCTGTCTATATTTCTGAGATGAGTTATTATGTACAGTATTTACATTAGTCGGACTATTGTCCTCATCTTTGTCGCCATATTTGTCACAACGTTTTGGCCGTTGTATGCTCTGGCCTTCTTCAGGTGGTTGGAATTTCGAACTGAACCCTTTATTTCGATCACTGGGGTAGACTATTCTAGTTCCACGTGCCATGTTTGATGGATGTCAGTTATCAGTTATCTCCTGCTAATTTTCCCTCTGAAAGTTCTCCACTGCCTTAACCAGGTATTGAACTCACCTTCTTTGGGTCTGTCACTGGATCTAACCAACTCCTTTATCCACTGTGCCATAACTGACATCCATCAAACATGGCACGTGGAACTAGAACAGTCTACCCCAGTGATCGAAATAAAGGGTTCAGTTCGAAATTCCAACCACCTGAAGAAGGCCGGAGCGTACAACGGCCGAAACGTTGTGACAAATATGGCGACAAAGATGAGGACAATAGTCTGACTAATGTAAATACTGAATATTAACCTTTCTTTCAAATAATTGTATTCAACATTCTTTGCTTAATTCAAAACTTTTACAAAGTTACAAATTGAATTATGAATTAATATTGTCAAAGTTTCTAATATGCAGCACTAAGCAATTTTCACATTGACTTTCTTGGAATAAAATTTTGGACATTTTGAGATCATCACAACATAACCTTTGCTTAGTTTTCTCTGATGTTTGGAATTTGAGAAACCTGACTCTAAATAGGAAACAAAGAATAACCCTCTACTCCTGTTCAAAAGATTGGGGAGGAGTGTGAACCGGATGATAGACAAACCTATCTACTCCTATTGAGGAAAAAACAAATGTAAATCAGTAGTAAATAAAAGTTCAGAGTTTTAGGTGGAGACATTAGAAGTATAGAGCTGAAGTAGTCTTTAGAAAAAAACAGAAACCTGATGCTAAACAGGGTAAAAAGGGATAAACTTCTACTCTTGTTTGAAAGACCAGGAAGGTGCGTGAACCAGATGAGAGGCAAACCTATCTACTCCTATTGTAGAGAAGAAACAAATAATTAGTAAATAAAATTTCAGGGTTTAGGTAGAGATGTTAGATGTATAGAGTTGAAGTAGACTTTAGAATGAACTGAAATTCCAATCCTAAGTAGGAAACCAGAGATAGACCACTACTCCTGTTCAAAAGACCGGGGAGGAGTGTGAACCGGACGATTATAAAAATGTTAGATTTCTAGTTTATCCACTTCTTTTCCTTTCCATTTATCTGTAGAGGAGTTGAATATTGATACAAGGTGGAATTGCAACCCATTAGGTCTTTCACAAGAGAACATTACATCAATTATCCAAAAGTGGCTTTCATTAAAAAGAAATTATAATTGTAATTAAAAAGATGATTTAATTGTTGTTATTAATTCTATTGCAGGAGTGCTGAAGAATACACGAGTTCTGGATCATGCCAAGCATCACAATTATATGATCAGTGTCATTGCTGAGAGCTATGGGAAAAGAAGATCCAAGCCTGCTTTGGTTAATATTTTGGTCAAAAAAATGTGTAAAGTCGGCTGGAAAGGTTAGTTACTTTTTTTTATTCTTTTGTTTTTTGTTGAGTGGGGTTTTTTTGTTTTTGTTTAGTGGGTTTTTTTTTTTTTTTTGTTTTTTTTTTTTTTTTTTTTTTTTCTCTCTAACAATATACTCACCTGATGTTTATGGGTTTTCTTTTTATTTTTCTGTCGGTAACAACAGTCTCACCTGATGTTAGTAAGACCAGTTTGGGCTTACATCTTTTTCTTTTTATTTGTTCCTTAAGGACATAGTCTTTAATAGCTCTCCACAACTTCCTACCTCTTGTCTCTTAATAGTCTGTTTGTCTTTTGCTAAGCCCTCACTCTCCATTCAGTCATTCATTCACACAATCTCACTTGCTGCCTTCCCCCATCTCTCTTGCCCCCAAAATGTTCTGTGAGGGTTATGTTTTCCAAGCCCTCCTTCCTTATTATATGTCCAAACAATTTCAGCTATCTTTTTCTGATTTTGTGCAGAAGTCTTCATTCTTTTGCCATTTTTTTATGACTCCCTTGCTGCTTACTCACTATGTCTTACCTCTCTTACCCTGTGTGTATCAAATTCTCCAAGCCTTCATTATGTGTCCAAGAAATTTCAGTTCTCTTTTTTTTTATTCTGAGGATAAGTTTTCTTTCTGCTGCCATTTTTTAAGACTTTCTTTTTGTCTACTACGTTTGAAAATTCTGATCCAACAACATAAATTTCATTAAAGAAATTGGACTCTACAGAACAGTATTAAAAAAAAAAAAAAAAAAAAAAACTGTTTACCAAATCTGCTTACCCACATTGTTTTTTAACTTATTTTGGAAGGAAAAATTATTTTCAGCAATACATTTTGGAAGGAAAAATTATTACCAGCAATAATTTGTCTCTGAACAAAATCCCCCTTTACAAAATATGCCAATGAAACCTGATCTACAAAATGATTCCTTACAAAAAATACATACTCTATTCATATGAGCCTATCTAAAAATTCTTGTCGGCATTACTGTCCTAGTTATGATGATAAACTATATCCGTATCCTGGGTAAGACGATAAACTGCATCCAACAGCAAAACCTCTGATCAGGAGGTTTTGAGGAGTGTGGACCCACCTCTTAATTGTTGGTGTTCCCAGGTCCACCCTGACTTGGGGTGGTAGCACCTGTTAGGGGTCCCTGCTATGGGCAAATAGTTAATACCCAAACTGGGGTCAAAACACTATGAAAGTGTAAAAATAGATTTTAATACCAGCAATACATTTTTGG